GGGATACATTTTATAAGATAACTCTCTGAAGAGAGTGCTGAAGATTAATACGGATGATCAGTGAAAGACTTAACGGTCATATAACCGTCACATCATTTTCGAAGTCAGCAATACAGGCAGAACTAGTAACTCGTTTGAGTAAAAGAGTGAGAAAAGAATATTGAATTGGAATAAAATTTTTGTAACGGATCAACACAAAATTATCAGAAGATGATCATAATTTTTAATATTTCCATCATTATTTTAGTAGGTTATGGCGTAAATCATGCGAAAGTTTTTACGGTTTTGGAAAAGCATGCCCGTAGATTTTCAACTCGTAAAAAAGAGCTTAGATTTTATTTAGAATTTAAAAAAAAATCGATCTTTTGTTTTGTTTAAATCTCGATATACATATATGTGAGTATACGATTGTACATAATTTCTCGTATTCTGTTAAATCTTGTTGTTGATCCAGCAAATAGTTTCAGAGATATGAACGTATTTCCAATTTTTTTTTTTAATTTAGTTTAGTCGGCTCTCAAAACTTTAAAACCGTTAATCTCGAAACGCTTTTTCAGAAGGAGGAAATTTTCTCCGAAACGGCTAGACCGATCGACACGTTCTTAGGTATATTTGTCAGTTAATAATTGAAGGAATAAGATGATTGATGAAAAATTTTTTACTGGTCTTTCGATTTCTAACTAATCTATAGTTGTAATAAAACTATTTGGTTTTTGGATTTGAGTTAATTCTAGGCAGAATAATCTTTCTCACCGCCAAACAACTTTTTTCGGAGTTCCTCGTGGAGATCAGCTACTAGATCAATAGAACAAAATTATTCAAACTGAATCACCGATTATTAAAAACATTAAATTCTGCGAATATACATTATTGTTGCTTATTTATTAAATAAACTGTCTCTTCAAAAAAAATTAAAACAGAAACATTTTTTTCTTTCTGACTTGCAAGTGAATATAACTCCTTAAGTCCCATATGAAATTGGAAGACCGAATGAAAAGCCTTCATTTTTTCAATTAACAGCTAATAGAATCAAAGCAAATTTTCTGAAGACCTGGTTAAGTTTTATAGATGGCTCTAAGGAAGCATGCTTATGTAAGCATATACTAAATGTAACTTTAAAGATTTTTAGCCAGAAAGGCAGTGTATACAATATTTAGAATGGAACAATTTTAAATATAAATAAATTACCGATATTCCAGTAATTACAATGTTATTTATCTTCAAACCCTTTAGAGAATATTTCATAACGAAAAATTATGTCAGATGTTGGTCAAAAGTGGGTCACGTAGGCCATAGTTTAAATTAATTTATACACGTTTATAAACATCAATAGGTCTATAAATCAAATTACTGTAAATCTCAAATTTAATTTCATGCTAATAATATGCGCATCTGCCTATTCAATTTATTTGTGTCAAAGAATTGACTTAGAAATTGCAAAATCCCGGAAAAAAAATCGGCTCTTCTCGCACGGATTCGGCCTAAGGCGGTGAAATGTAGCCAAACTGTGAAGAGGTAGTACACAATAACAAATTTGTGTATACTTGTTTGTGTGTTTGTGAATTCAATCAGATGAGTCACTTCGATTTAAAGAACTTGTGCCTTCTTGTCGATCACCCTTGATCAGCCAAATGGCAAAGCGGGCAAGCACTTTAACCGAAAGTACCTTCCTAACAATACAGACAGTCGCATGATTTGATGGCTTGGCACTCAACATACCTCAATACATATGTATGTATATATATACATATATACTACACTTGGTGTTGTCTGCAAATTTGCCGTTTCTATTAAGCCACTTGATATTAGCTTTGGCGAAATTCAAAATAACATTTTGTCAAAATCTTTCGTTCACTTCTATTTTACTGTATAAGTATGTATGGGAGTATGTATTTATTTTTATCTCTTTCATTCAACATTTTTCTTACAAAAGTTTTTATTTTGATTTATATATTACAGTATCTTTTGTTTCACGTTATTATTATTTTGATTTTTATTTATATATTTTTTTTAATAACCACCATAACCAACCATTGGTGTAGTTGCTTTTGAATTGCTCAAGCACTTGTTGTATTTTTTCTTCAGGTTACTGGTGTGTGACTCCCGCAGGCGATGGATCGCCTTGCCAACCGCACACCTCTCTCAAAAAAGTGAAAAAAAAAGAATTATATATATATATATATATATATAAATATGTATAACAACAACAGCAACAAAAGTATACAAGTAAGTAGTGGTAAACGTTGTTGTTGGCCATGCGAAAGCGACAGCAACACTGTCAAATGAACCGCATCAATGTGGTCGCTTTAGAAAAATCTACAAATAATAAAAAATCAATGAAAAAACCTATATCGACAGAGCATCGAAAAAATTACAAACAAACAACAATAACTACAACAAAGCTGTACAACACGACAAGCACTCCGATAAAACAAGAACGCAGAAAATATGCTGTGTGCAAAGAGAAGCAAAAGCAAAGCAAGGAAAGCAAGCGCATTCGGTGAACATGGAAACGTGTGTATATTTTTAAATGCACCCAGCGAGAAATTTGACGAAAAGTCCCATTATATTAAAAAATGTTGATACGTATATGTCCGAAAATTATCAATCCAGATTAGGACATTATCGTCACATTATTTTTTTGGAAACATTTCCAATTACTATGGAAGTTTGACGGTTGGTTTCATATATGACGTTGTGTTTCGCATTCTTGTATCCTGTCATTTTTGACTCGTGTTTTAGACTTGTTAGTTTAGGAAGAAAATTCTTTAAAGCTTTTTAATCACATCTAATGGGCATGACTTGGCTGCCTATGATAATAGGTTTTAAAGAAAGTCAATTATTTTTAATCTCATATATGTGTAAGAATATATCTGAAATGTCTGTAATAATATGGCTTCTGAACAAACGGCACTTTTTTCATATAGAAAGTTAAAAAATAAAAATTTTGTTTTCGAATGTGCCTTGACATGATTTTATCCAGACTTTGTTTACTGACATTGCCAAAGTGTCATTGCAGCATTTGCAGAATAAATTTATTTTAAGCAAAATGAAAAAAATTTAAGCATGTACATAAGTTTACACGGCTTTATTTTTATGGAACCTATTACATAGAAGACGCAAAAAAACTATTTTGATAATCAATAAATATGAATATATGGTACATCACGGTAAAATTGGTAAAAAGCTTTTGAAAACTGATATTGGAGGTTTAGCTAATTTTTCCACCAAAATATAATGTAATGTATCAACCAGCTTAGATCCGATATTAAAAGCCCAAATAGTTCCACCTTTACGAGGTACAAAAATTAATGATTAAGAGGAAAAGCACATTCAAAAGAGAAACGAAAACAAACTTTCTGTGAAATCTTGAACAAATTAAAATTAAAAAAAAAAAATTATAATTGAAAAACTATTTCAAATATGTAGGTACATGTTTTGTATATAGATCTCCATACAACGAGGTACTAAATATAAATAAGAATTTTCTGAGACCAAACATGATAAAAATTTTGGTTAAAATTCAACATTTTCTTTTAGAAAAGCTCCATTTTCTCCATTATTGGTTGTTTCGTCCGTAGGTAGGTTACATGGACAATATCTTATAATAAAGAATTTTTTTAGAGGACTTTTTTTAGCGCCGTTGAGCATTGGGTGTAATTAAAAAAATATTAAATTTTTTTCTTAAAACTTTTACTTATTATTTCTTTTTAATTCCCAAAAATTGCCTTTTTTAGACGGTCACACTTGGTGGGCCTCTTGGTTAAACTAAAATAAATAATTTACTAGTTCATCGAAATAAGTGACTTTTGTTCCATTATACATATAATAATGAAAATAATACCATCAGAATTTCTCAATTCTCTACAACTGAATTCTAAATGTGCCCTATACATATGTAAACTCAAACATTTCCTACAGGGTTTTTATACAGGTGTGTACATAGCTATAACCACACACATGTATGCCAGCCTTTCGATCATAGCTTGAGCTGCAAGATTTCTAAAATACAGGTACCAACACTTGATTGTAAATATTGTGGTGTGTTCGTATGTATGGCTTCGTCACAGCTGACTTACAGCAAAGGATTGCTTGTTGGCTGAGTATCAAATCAGTTTTGGTGTTTGACTGCAGGTAGACCTTTCATTGACTCTGATTGCTTATTAGGAATTGTTTTTACAAATATTTATACATACATGAATGTACTTCGATTTTCAATCATTTTATAACTGACTCAACACCAAAAATATTTTCTAGCAATTTGGATGTTCTAGAACATATTTTGATTGCAAATAGTCTGGGAGAAGCTAGCATAACCTGATGAATCAGTAAAGAGGACCTGACCTAACCAAACTCAAATATGAGTTTTCTACATAAGAAGGGAGACAAACATAGTTGAGAGATTAACTGCTTGAAATAATTTCCTAAATATATTTTTTTTATCGGTTTACATAGTACAGATATCCCAGCTAAAATATCAAAGAATTAGTTGAAAATATATAATAGTCAATCTTGTCTTCATCAAAACTGCATTACAAGCTCTCATTTTCTCTTAGTTGAAATTAAAAAAATATATGTATTTCATAATTTATATATAATTTAGTTAGTTATATTTATAATATAATTTAGTTAGTTTCAAGTGTAATTAAGGGTTGCTCAAAGCGTTGTCTTGACGACACTCTTCTCAATCTCACTCAAAGTAACGCTAAGATGACGTCGCATAAAACTAACTTTAAATTTTTTGTAGTTAAATTTCAAATAGCTATGTTTTTTATTTAAATTAAGCATCTTTTTCTAGAGTTGTTCAACTTAATGGAACTTGAAGAGGAGTAATAAATATTCTTAATATTTATTTTAGATTATGAAATAAAATTATCACTAGAAATATTAGCTTTTCGACACGAGCACCATTTTTAAAAAACATTTTAGAGTATAGCCTATAATTATATAATATGATTATCTTCATTCGGTTAATCGAAATATATTTATCAAGGACTTACCTATTCAATTACTTTTGTTTTCAGAGTTTTATAACGAATATTTTTATTATTTTATTTGTTTATAATTGTTTAGTAACATTAGTTTCTTTGCCGTTTCAAAACAGTTTCTTCCTTATTTAGTTTCTTTTTAGTATTTTTATATTCGAATATTGTTTGTGTCGAATATTGTTAATTTTTTTATTCAAATAAATTATTTATATTTTTCAAGTCTTTTTTCACTTTTTATGTTAAATAATCACGGAGTATTTGGATTTTTATTGTTACAATTTTATATATTTAATATTCTTGACTTTCATTGATTTTTTTCCAAATTGTTTTTCATAATGTTACATAATTCTTCAATTTTATTTTTACTTCAATAAGTATTTTTACTTAAAAAAATATAGAAGTATTTTTTTCATTTTAATATTATAACCTCAAATATATCTTATTCGTGGAAGTTTAGAAATTATTAAAAATAATTTAAAAATTTATTTTGATAAAAATTTATTTTTAAATTCGTTTTTTTTTATTTAGTATTAGTTTGAGTTTTTCTAAATATCCAGATTTACATTAAATCGCTTTTAAAAGATTTTGTTGCCAGTTTATATTTTATTTTATTCGAATTCGACTCTTCAAAACAATAATTATTACAAAACGGTATACTTTTCTTATCCAAAACCACTTCTAACGCAATTCTTTCACTATTTTAAGGCATTGATTCTTTTCTCACACACTTCTCAGGTTTATTTTGTGTATAAAAATCCTTCAACTACCGTTCATTTCAGTATTAATTTCATCACTTTCAAATCCACTTCACTTATTATGTTTTGTTCGCATAGTCACGCGTGTGGGTGTGTATTCATTTTCATCCTTTTTTGCCGCAATCTTTCGACGCACAACAATTTTCGTAACATAAATTCAAACACAACGTTCACTTTATCGTTTACTATTTTTAACACATCGCTCTCCACAACACTTCTACATATTTGTTTATGATTCGTTTCGTATTCCCGACGCGTTCCCAACAACTTCTGTCCTCGGTGATCGCCAACAATTGACTGCCGTTGTAACAAAGCTGCGAAACGAATTCAACCGCGCCAACTCAACCAACTGCACGACTCTGATCTACAATAGCAATGAACGGCAACGAAGTGGAGTTGAATTGGAGTGTAGTGAAAGAATTGTGTTGTTGTTAGTCTGTTGATCTGTTGGTCTGTTGGTCACAGTGGTAAAAGCTCTACTTTTAAGTCGTGCTTAAATGAAGCTCATCGCAACATTCGCAGTTTGGATTTAGGCTGAAGTTGACTCAAATGAATTGAGAGTATGCAGATGGTATTGAAGTGCTCTTTAGCTCAATCTGATTGGAGTAAAACGTGTAAATTTATGAATGAAATCAGCTGAGAGGGAGTTATATACATACGCATATTTATGTAGAAATCTTTATATCATTGGTTTTATTTATTGCTTATTTTTTCTATATTATTACATAAATTATAATTTTTTAATTGCTATTTTATAGAGATGAAGTAAGGGGTTAGAGATGTCACCTAGAGTTACCATTTATTTACAAAATTTTTAAACAAAAAATAAAGAAGTTGGAAATCGCGACACATAATAGGTGAGAGAGCGCAACACAATTTTATTTAATTCATAATTTTTTTAATTTCTAAGCCCCGCTTAACCCGCAAACCAGGACGAATGGTCAACTAAAACTAAATACTTCTGATCAGGGTTGTCAACTGTTTAAAAAACTTAGCTGTTCAAACTTTTCAAAGAAAATTTTTATATTACTTTGCAGCAAATTTATTAAGTTGATAAAAAAATATTTAAGGGTTGCCATCCGTTAACAATTTTTAAAATGTGAATGTAAATAAAAAATCCGAAACTAAAACTGAAAATTTTTAGTAAAAAAATCATAGTACAATTCAAAACGAGGCTTGCCAACTGTTTTTATATCAAATTTTTTAAATACAATAGATATGGTTAACTAATTTTTTTCAAAAATGCTATCAAAATAATTAAGTTTAAGAATGTTTACAGTTCACATAATTTTTGTAAATTGTTACCAACTGCTTACAATAAATATAACAATAATAGAGTATGGCAAAATGAGCATCAAACTGTACGGGTCTAAGAAAGGTTTCTGAACAATATATTTTTGAAAACTAACTATTATCAAATAAAAAATGTTGAAAAAAACCTTTAGTTCTAGTCAAACTTCTTTGATTTCGATTCTTATTTATTACTAGTCTTATTTATTACTAGCAAAAAAAAATGTAAAAATGTATGTAGATAACTACTGAAAATAAATTTTGATAATGACAATCAAGAAACAAAATAACAACACTACATACTCCTACAATGTCATGGTGGCTTTTAATATGAGAGGGTTGCAAAGTGACCGGTTATTGAAAAGTCAAAAATTCGCGATGCTTCAAAGGCATAAAGTCTCTGATTGTACTAAATTAGCATGGATGGCAATCGAAATTTACGTAAAATGACATTTGAACGTGGACAAAAGTTGTATGTTCAGTTCTCAAAACAGACCGCGCATCCCAAGAACGTCAAAATTAGAGTGAAAACAAGAAAAAATCTTAATTTCGGTTACACCGAAGCTTTAATAGCCTTTACAAATACAAAAGTTCCTTACAAGAACTTGATTCCGATTTAATTTCGTGAAGATACCTCGTCAAATGAAAGAGTTTCCCATACAAGCACTTGATTCCGATTGTTCAATTTTGGCAGCAATATGCTATAGTGGTCCGATATCGACCATTCCGACAATGAGCAGCTTCTTAGTGACAAAAGGACAGGTGCAAAATTTCAGATCGATGGCTTAAACTGGGGACTGAGGGACTAGTTTGTATATATACAGACAGATGGACGGACAGACGGACATGGCTAAATCAACTCAGCTCATCATGGTGATCATTTGTGTATATATTTTATAGGGTCGTGGCAAACTTAATATACCCTGTTCAGAGTATTTATAGTAGCATATACTATAGTAGTTCTCTTGTAACGTGACATCAGTATTACAGTCAGTATCCTTAAGCTAAAATGGCACAACAGAAAGCAAATTTTACTGAATATAAGTCTTTTTATTATTTTAAATAAAACCGTACCTAAAAACACAGTATTTTTTTTCTAATTTTATATTTATTAAATCAAATTCAATGTAAGTTATTTTTATTATACAAGTATAAACCAATTTTTATACAGTTTTCCTTTTTTTAATATTTTAGATAATAAAATTATTTAAATCAATATTTGACATGACATATTTTTTACTTATTGTTTATCTAAGCAATATTTTCTTTTCAGCCAAGAAAAACTTTGTCGCGCAAGGCTACCTACGATGAAAACCAAACACTATTTATTGGTTTAAGCGATAAGAAAATTCTTTGAATAACGAAATAATATTGGCTAGCAGCAAAAGATCATAAATTTAAAGGAAATTGATATTTTTTGTACTTTTTTTTTTGAATTAATAAAGCAGATAAGGCAGTCCTTATCTACAGTCTTAAAGGTATGTAAGTGAGTCTTGAGATATACATACAAACTTACAGCAAAAATTCTTGGGTAAATATTTACCTCTGCTTCGTTAGTTTGGCTTTGTTGTTGTGCGTATTGTTTATAGTTTTCTCAAATGGATAATAAATGTGGCGCACCGTGAAATTTAATTGACATGACATTGAGTGGAGATAAGAATCGTATTGCTTCCTGATTTTCGTTGACTCGAATGTAATTAAGGGTAGGTACTGACATGGGGTAAATACTAGCTGCGTATATGGAAGTGTACAAATAAAATATATATGTAGCTGCATAAATGAAATTAGTATTACGGTGGCTCTTAGTAGTGACTGGAAATAGTAATACCTTTTTGAAAAAATAAAAACAATTCACATTTGCTTTCAAGCTGCAAAAATAATCTTGTCTACTGCAGAGGAATTCCCAACCAACATTTATGTTCAAGTGACAAGGAATATTTTTTTAATTTTTTGGTTGCAACATTTCTGTACTGTACTCGTGATGAGAATAATAGGTTCTACTGTATAAATGAATCGTATGAATTAATAAATCAGAATCATCAGTCGACAATTCTTCTGTTCGTGGCTAAGATCTTTCGTAACAAACTTTACTGACATACATACATCTCAAAACATTAAGAAGAAATATATGAAATATTCAATGTTAATAAATTAGTACACAATTTAATCTCTCAATCTCTATAAAATCATGCAGCATTTATGTATATACTTATACTATATGAAAATACGTTGAAGTTGTATTGGACTGATCTTCATTGACTGATGATTTCATTTAGTTTCTATAATCTTGGGGTTTCTTTTCATCTTTTGAAACAAATTTTCCGTTAAACAGGCAAAACTGAAAGCTTTAAGCTATTCGGAGTACTTGAGTGAAAGCTTTTATTTATTTATATTAACTGCTATTGATTTTTTCAACTGTTTAACAAAAAACTTAAGTAAACAAATGTATAAAAGTTGACAAAATATGAAATTAAAAAAAACGTTGCATACTTTTAGGCATATATTAAATCAATTCGGTCTCACACACAAAGATATGAACCAATGTACAGCTTATAGAAAAACTAACGCTTGGTAAGTATTAATGTAGCACCACTTTTAATTAATTACACTATATGGCAAAAACCATTTTTTCCTGAATATTGGATCAAATAATTTTTTTCGAGAGATTGAGTCATATGTAAAAAGGAAAGTTCTTCGTTTTTTAAGTTAGCTTCGAAAATAGAAATATTTCTCTTTGTAGTTCAACATTGAGCGTGTTAAACAAGCATCATTATTAATTACAGTATAAAATTTACTAAAAAAAGTAAAATTATGGACATAACCTTTACATTCCACTTATTTCAATGGGGTGTAATATATAATATTTCTGTCAAGCTTATATGACAGAAGCTAGAAACGAGCGAAATCAGATTTTCGAAAAAAATAAAAATTTTGTATTTCACATATACAAATTTAATTTAGAAAAAACGCACTACAAAAAGTGGAATGAAAAACAATATTTACCTAGGCGCCTATTTATACTATTTCTATTTACTCATCATTCGGTTCACTCTCAAACCAATAATAGACAAGTTTTAGGGAAACTGTAACTATGGTTCACCACAGACACCCAAGTGGTAAGAGTATAAGGAAGTGGTTATCATAATACGTAGATTTACCCAATTTATATTTCAGAGATACCATAATGGAAAGATTATTTGTAGTCCCACAGTATGCCAAAATAAAAATAAACAGACATTATAAATTCTTAACATATTGAATTTAATCATTTCGTAAGGTAAATATATGAAATCTTCTATAAAAAGAATGTTCGTCGTTACATAGATACACGCGTATGATTAAACGACTATATAAATATTCGTATTTATATTTCACATGTCGCCGATAACAAAACACATTTATGGAAGTTCATTCATATCGCTTGGCTCTAAAAAGTATTGTAGTATCTGATGAAATTAAGACAAAATGTGTTTATCTGCTTTTTCCTTTATTAACTTATATGGGTGGGACGAATGGTGGTTCCCTATCGGTAATAATTACTCGAGTAGCCGTTGAAGTGACAGCAACAGAAGTGCTAACAGCGAAAGTAGCTGATAATGATTGAAAGACGAGGGCAAGTTGATAAATCGGTGATTTTGAAGTGAAGAGTTTTTACAAAACAAAAATATTTTAAGGAAAATTCACTTTAAGCTTTAAAGACATTTTTATTTTTTGGGGAATGATTTTGATAGGCTCTGAGAATGTTGGAAATGGGGTGTTTATTTATTGAGGACAATAAAATGCTTGCAGTTTTGGGAAAAATTTTAAGACAAGACCAGAACACACTATATTGAAGTATTTTTTGTTTTGTGTGAAGTTTGATCTTCACAAGTTTACTACCACGATCACAAGTAAGGGAGAGCCACAAACCATTCAGTGAAGGTGAAACTTGCCTCATACGAGTCGTTGATCTCTGTTAATGATGATAATCTCAAAAAAGTTAAAGAAAAAGTACTTGAAAATCGCCATGTTGGAATCAAAGAAATAGTAAAAGATCTCAACATCTGTTATGGATTGACTCAACACATTTTGTTAATGTTTTGGGGTATAAAGCGTGTCAATGCTAGACTCGTACTAAAAGACCTAAACTTTTGCAAAAACAACGTCGAGTAGAGTTCGCAAAAAATATGCTTAATCACGTAGCCGAGGACCCTACATTAAACGAACGTATCATTACTAGAGCCCAGACTTAGGTTTATGAATATGACGTTGAAATTGTCTAGCAATCTAGCGAATGGCGCTCAAAAAATCAGCCAAACCCGAAAAGAAGCAAAATTCGCTGGCGACACTGAAGATCATAACAATCGAGGCTTATAAAACGTGTATGGAAGACTGAATTAAGCTTTGGCACACTTGCATTGACTCAGGAGCCTATGTTGAGGGAATGTATAAGCTGATAGTTTTAAATCCTTACTTTCAAAGTTCTTCAAAGAAAATTTACTGACTTATCGAACTTCTTATGTACTTGTGCATGTCATATCGACGTATGATTTCTTATCATATAATTCTCCACAAAAGGGTCATTTTGTATTACTTCCACATTTTAATGCACTCGTACACACTTCAATTTTTACCCACGACATTTAAATTCCAATATATAACTTTATTACTCTCCGCTTGGTTACAAAATTTCACAACTATTTGCCCAACAATTTTGAGTTACAAATCATATTAATTTTGCGACTAAATGAAATTGATATCTTCCATACAGATAAATGGGCTGTTGGCTACTTTATAGTGCTTGTCTGCTGACTTATATTGACTTATTGATTTTTATCAGTATTAACTTTCGATTCATTAACGGAAGAGGTTACGTTTTTAAGTTCACGGATTGAGAAAAAATGATTATCCGCAAGATGGAGTGATAAGACATTTTTGAGAGGATGTTAAGTCACAATTAAATAAATAAAAAAGAATAATGTTTGCATTTCTTTTGTGTATTTCTCTTTTACAATTATTTTGTGGTTCTGAAAGTGTTACACATGAAAAAACGAGAACTGCAGGTTCTCAACACTACCCGCATTATAATAATCGGAAACTTTTTTCAAACATACTTGAAAACAAATTAATAAAATATTGTATATGTTTACAGTTACAATGGAAAAAAATTGAGCTAAAGAATTTGCATTTTAAGAAAACCTGGAGAATTTAGTAGTTATAATAATTATTATTATTATTAGTGAAAATTCTAGAATTGCGTTTGTGAGCGGAGGAAAATTCCAATTACTGAGAAATTTAAAAGTCTTTAAGAGATATAATACTGAAATAAAAATCTTAGTGCCCCTCCGAATTTGTTATTTTTTCACTTTTCTTCTAAAAATGCAATCCATCCTTAACATTTAGTCACTTGCAGCAATTTCGATAGTAACCACGCCCACCTTCAATTTAGTGGCTATGTTTATAGCGATAAAATTACGATAAATGGATAAATGTATATATACATAACATATACATAAAACTCATAAATATAGACATTGATATAGATATAGATATAGATATAGATATAGATATAGATATAGATATAGATTTTGTTGTGCTGTAGCAAACAAATACTATTTCCAAAACGGTAAGGACCTTAAATTACAAACACAGTTTTATAATATTCAAAGAAACAATTTTGACGCTTCTTAAATTCGTGTCTATGCGAAGTTTCGTTTGCGTAGAAAGTTTTATATACACTTATATATAATATATGCATAGATGTTTGTAAGTACAAGTATTTGTGCACATTTGTATGGATATGCATATAATGTATTTACTTGCGCACTTCAAGTATAAAAATTAACGCAAATATTTATTTAGGTGTTTTCTCTGAAAAAAAATAAAGGGAATTGATGTGCAGAAATGATAACTCGTAGATAAAGCCAAACACGGAGCGACAACAGTGTGCCAACACCTGATAAGCGAATGAAAAAGATAGACGTATCTAGTATGTGGGTGCATGTTGGCGCTAAGACAATCTAATATAACTATGAAATAAAAAAATTTAATTTAAAGTTAAACTGGTGTTGCTACTTAAGAATACAAATTTGCAAAAACAAATATATTGTTAATACCAAATTCTAGAATATTTAAATAATTATAACTATAAGTAATAGAAAATTATTTATATTTGTCCACACAAGGGACTTCCCATCTATAAATAGACGTAGAATAAGCTCATGAACTTTTATGAATCGCTTGGTGGTAGTTGATAAAAAAAACATAAAACTCTTTATAAACATATGAACTCCATATATATATAAAATCGCTTGCGCCAAAAATAGCACCTCCGAACAATTGTCTATATTTTTAAGCTAATATCAAAAGCACTTGCTTAATCAGGCTTTGTTTATCTTATATCACTTTATTTAATTTTATTCTTGCAATTTATTTTTTGTGTTTACAAGCTACGACTATGACGTCAACGATTTGCTTACTGAGTCAGCCTTTCAGCGTTTGGAGATATTACACAAATTCATATATAGACTCGATATTTACATTTGTGCCTTTGTTTTGGTCATATTGTGTAATTTACAGTTAGTAGCAGCATATGCTTCCTCTTTCTTAGCTCGATAACAGTTTCAATAGCGTAAGATAAATAGGGCTTTGAACCTAATTACATACACTTATATATAAGTGATATATATACGAGTATATATATATATGTATTTGTATTATATCATGGTATTATAACTATAGTAGCGCTGCAGTGGACTTCTATTACTTTGTGAAATTGTAATAATAATTAAGTTCTAACTGAAGTGGCAACTTCCGAAAACATTTATAAAAATTTAACTATTTTTGATAAGAGAAAAAAGTGTGTAGAGGAATACCTTTCTTAAAACAAACACTACATTTATTAACCTCTGTAAAAATAAACAATTCTAAAAGGAACAATAAAAAACGTTAAATTCGGTTGCCCTAAAGCTAATACCCTTCACAAATACAAAAGATAAAATCTTGATTCTGAGCGGTCAGTTTGTATGGCAGCTATACGCTATAGTGGTCCGACCTAAAACTTTTTTTTGGAAATTGCATGAAGATATCTTGTCAAATAAATAATCTTTCCCTACAAGGACTTAATTCCGATGGTTCAGTTTGTATGGCAGCTATATGCTATAGTGGTCCGATATTAGCATTTCCGACAAATGAGCATGTTTGTATTGGCAAAATTAGGGACTAGTGGTTGTGTACATAGAATACAGACAGACGGACGGACGGACGGACGGACAAACAAACGGACATGACATATACATTTTATAGGGTCTACGATACTTCCTCCTAGTAAAAATGCTCGGTTCAGACCTTTAACAGTGGCTCTTTCTCCTTTACGATGAGAGTCATGCGATAGCATTCCCAGAGGTCGTGTGGCAAAAGAGGTATTCAAAAACATGAATTTAGTAAACTATAGCAACCCAAGAGGTCCATCGCATACACCGTTCTTACCATTCCGTTCTTCTTTATCGGTGATAACTTTAATGTGAGCTAATAGGTTCAATTCAGTGTCTCCGAAGTTTCATGTTATAAAAAGGGTCTTGAAAAACTTGAATTTTCAAAAATAAGTGCGATTTCGACAGAGTTTTATTAAAAAATAAGTATATCTATTTTATTGAAGTTTTCTCCTTTTTCCATTTTTGGAAAAAATAATTTTAAGTATGATTGAGGATACCGCAAAACACTTTTTAAAGAAAGACGCAGCGTTACAAAGGTTAACTAGTTGAGCACAAAGAAAGTGAAAAGCTTCTTAGAAAATGCGAAGTCTTTAGCAGAGCACATATCTTATAAAGAGCGGTATAGAGCGCTACAAGGAATATCTAGCAATTACTATAAGTAATAAGGAAGTGGTCTCGGCATGGAGACTGTTGAGATTTAACAGAATATTTTAATCGTCGAATAAATATATCGCCTTGACAGGTTCAGTCATAAATAAAAACAAAAAATATAATTTCGTTGACATACAAAAGCAGTGTTACCCATTCACTTTAAAAATATCAACATATTTGTAAGTTTTCTGTTCGAAACTTTTTTTTACATGCTCAACACTATTTTCTTTTAACATCTTTCAAGCATCGTATTTTCAAATCAGATATTCAGATTTACATTTATATTATATTAATATTTTTATCGCAAGATTTCATCGTATATTTGAGCAAATAACGCTATGGAACTTAAGACAATTTTCAGAATCGTAGAGCTGGTAAGCGAATGTTCAATCCAAATCAAGAGTTTATAGTATCTAAAGATGCAATTATAAATTATACAATTTTTCTTTAAAGGTAATATGTATCGTGCTCTTAGTCCTTTGGTATGCGTTGAACACCTACGCAACAAGTGTTATGGTCGTGTGTGGCACCATTTTCGGTTTCACCATAATAACGGCTGTGCTGGTGGCACGTAAGTAATAAAAAATTTGAAGTATGCTGAAAATTCATAAATTTTAGATTTTATTACTTAAAAATCTATGTTTTCACAGTTGAGTTTCTCGAATTCAATCAGGTGGCAGTTTATCTAATTATTGGCGCCATTTTGTCTCTCGTCTGTGGTGGTTTGACTATTGCCTATGTACCGGATTATGGCGATGGACGGATGTCTTATTTTATAGCAACTGGTCTCTTCATTGCTAACGGCGTAATTTTTTTAATCGATTTCATTATGGAATTAAAAAGTTAATTTAAAATAACTTATTTATTTGTTATAAGTCTCTTATTAAGACTTTTTTTCTTATGCAGAATGAAGTCTAGAAGAAGATAGTCTATTCGACTATTGAAGCAGTCGGGCAGTTCCAAATTGTAAAGAATGTAAATTATACACATACATGCATACATGTTCTGTTATATTTGCAAATAAATAATAATTTTCGTAATTTTACTGAAAAAAGTCGTAAGTTGTATTTCGGAAATTTTCTGATTTCGATTTAGACTATAAATAATAAAATTTCAAAGGTATACTTTTTGAAAAAGTAGACTACTGAAAATCGAATGGTTGTCAAAACTGAGGCTACTGTCTACCGAACAATTTCAAAAGCATTCAATTTAGAGTAAAGCATAGACAATGGACAAATGCCATATCACCGCAACTTCCAGTTTCATTTCAACTGTATTTGGGACATAATATTCTCTTTACATTCTGTTGTTAAAGTTTAAAAATGGGTCCGAACCACGCCTACTAGCCACATAACGCAATTTTTATTGACGTTAATAGAGGCTGAGAGGGCTTTCATCGAATTTTGGCTCATTTTTTTAGCACCGGTTTTAACGTCATATTCATAAATCCATGTCTTGTAACTAGTAATGGCGCGTTTGATGTATGTAGCGCCGTCAGCTATATTGTCAAGAATCTCTTTACGACTTTCACTCGACGGATTCAGATTCAGATTTTTTCGTACGGGTCTAGATTCACACGTTCCACACCCAAAAAATTCACCAAAACTTGTTAAGTCGATTCATAAGAGATGTTGATATACTCTACCATCTCACTGATGCAAACACGACGATTTTCAAGTACTCTTTCTTTAACTTTATTAATTGAGGTGGATGGGCGAATCGATGGGGCAAGTTTTCGATGACTTCGCGACCTTCACTGAACTCTTTGTACCATTCAAATACTTGTTTTCGTGATAAATTCGACTCCTTAAAAGACCTCAACTCATTTTGAATGATTCCGTAGCCGTGATTCCAATCGAAACAAAAAAATTTCAAAAAATAAGTAAAATCTTATACAGATAACCGTTAGTGCAAACCACTCCAACGGCTACACTTGAAAGATTACTCAACCTACCACCAATTGACATGGTTTGGCGGCGCTGGGTGAATTTTCCACAATAACTTTCGGATATAGGTAGGGGGCCGGTGGAAAAAATAGAACACATACTCTCACGCTTTATCTGGGAGAAAAGGTTTCAAGTCACACTATAAGATACTGATTGTATAAAAAGAAACTAGAACTCAGCAAAAAATCAATAAATTTCCTACTATTTTTCGTCTAATAAATATTTATTAACTAATTATAGTAAAAATTAAACTAATATCACAAAAATATACAATTTCCAGTCCATCTGAGACACACATGGTCCTCACATATAGGTTTACTAGTAACGATTCAAATCGTAAGCATGTTTTGAGACTTCCTTAATGACTGGAACTTCACGGCGACTATAATAGATGTAGAGAAAAAGAAATCATGCAAAATATAATATAATAAATTATATATACTAAAAATTATAAATTAACGAACAGAGTAAAACAAGAATAGCGGAACGATGGAAAGCACATAGAAAGAATTATGATAGACGCACAGAGGTGATATTTGGAGAGTAGAGTTACATTTCAGCAGATTAACAATTGCTACTGAAAACCGAGAATACCATAAAAAAAACACACATAGGAACATTTTTAATGATTTTTTAATTAAATTACAATTTAGTTTCTACTTTGAATTGATTGTTCTGTTTAACGGGGCACTTAACGGTAATAGAAAATATGAAATACGGCGATTTGACTCTTCAAATTACTTACTTTGCTCATCTGCATTATAACTTGTTCGGTTTATATTCTGCCCCTCTTTACCTATGCACCTTTTCCTAATTCAAAAAAGCATGTGTATGTATATGTGTTTATGTATACAAAAACATTTAATTCTAATAAGACAGGGACAAAAGCTGTACAAATACAGTTATAATTCATTTGAACAATGAGAATTTTTGCAAAATACAAATTTCTAAAAATATGAATATAGTATATGTTTGTAAGTATGTAAGTGTGTATATTTGAGTGCACCTTTGTTTATATAAGAGTTTATGCGTTTGTAAGTGATCTAAAATACGTTTGTGTGTGCGCGTGTGTGTATTTCGCTTCTTAACATGTAGTACATACATAAATGCAACATTTATTTATTTTTATTCAATATTATTATTATTTGCTTTTCTCATTTACGTTCTGCAAATCGAGAGTGTATCTAAAAGAAAGACTGCACCATTGATGATCATCAACGAGCCAGCAGCGAGTGCATTGCGTTTGCGGTCCTTGAAGAGGAAATTCGAGTTATCATGCCACTCATCGATGATCAGAGCGCCGGAGATGACGAAGAGAACGCAGCCCAAAATCGAGATGAGCGCATTCAGACGCTTCTCCACAATCGAGTTGAGTATGTGTCCTAAAATAAAAAGGAAAATAGTTAAAAAAAACTTTCTGTCGAAATAATATGTATTTATTTAATACAAAATTAAAGGTCTTATCTTATATTACATCTATGGCTTCCCTATTTTCTCATAAGGTGAAAGAATCGAATCTACGAAGGCCCCTCATTTATCAACTACAAATTAATTAGTTCAACGCTGGACTCCGCTTCGCTGCATACATACATATGCACCACTTGATTAAATTTGACCCGGTCCGAGAAATTTTTTTTTTTCTAGATTGATGTTTGTGTGAAGTTTGAGCCGCATATGTCAATACGTTGTTTGACAGCTATTTGTTTACGACGCGAAAAGTTTTTCTGGCGATTTTTACTATAGAAAAAAATTGAACAGCGGAATCATGACTACGCAATCCTTGCAAATATTACATATTTGTTTTGGCAAGCATATTTTATCACGAACACAAATATCTGAGTGGCACAATGCATTGAGTGAAGTTTGTGAAGTCATCGGAAACTTGTCCTACGCGTGTCGTCAATCCACATCTGTTAACAACGATAACATTGAAAAGTTTAAGAAACGGTGCTAGGAAATCATCATGTCAGAAAGATAGCAGAGGATCTCAGCAGCTCTTTTGCATCGACTCAAGACATTTTGGTTAATGTTTAGGGTTAATACTGGACTCATACGAAGAGATCTGAATATTTTGCAAAAACGACGACAAGTAGCTGTCGGAAAAGAGTTACTTGAAAACGCAGCTGAGGACCTTACGTTCATTAAATACATCATTACGAGTGGTGACGAGACATGAATTTATGAATATGACGTCGAAACTGTCTAACAATCTAGCGAATGACGCTCTAAAAATGTAACGAAATCAAAACGAAAAACCAAAATTTACTAAAGGCACTGAAGGCCATCGTTGCTCCATAGTTTAAGCGTTAGCGTGCTTGTATTGGTTCAGGAACCTATTTTGAAGGCGATAATAAAGATTCGTGAGAATGTTTTTTTTTTAGCAGTCCGGGTCAGTTTCCATCAGATGGCATTCTTGAAAAACCTTACTTGAAAACGAGGAAGTATATACTTGTATGCACGGACTTCGTCGATATTTACAGGTTAGTTTTATAGTATATCAGATAAACGTTCTCGACTATTATATATTATATACTACGACTCTTTTGAAAGTCTTAAAAAAAAGCTAAATTAAAGCTAAAGTTGTTTCAAATACCCTTACGAAATACTAAATTATAATACCTATTATATTAATTAATATTAAGAAATTTTTATTTGAGGTTTGGCTACTATACGGATATACATTTTTTTTGTTTGCGATAATGCTAATATAATATATACAAAATGCACTCACCAATCAACAACACACCGCAGATGATAGTGAAACCACCCAGTGTACCGCAGACAATCAGCGGTCTCGAGGATAATGCACCAGAGGTTTCCCAAAGCACAATGCAGGCGATCGCGATGCCCTAGAAACAAAATGCGGCAACAACACTGATTAGTATTTATTTGCAAAACTTATTAAACGATGACTTGATGAATATATTATTTTTAATTTTATTTTATTTTAGTTTATTGAAATTATTATTAATATTTTCCAATTTAATTTTTATTTGAAATATTTTAAGTATTTTAGTTATTTAATATTATATATAATATTATTATTATACTTTATAAATATTTATCATAACTTTGGCACATTTTGCACACAAACTTTTGGAAGCTTAATAAATTATTTTTTAAGTACTAATATATATAACTACTTTAACAGTATTATTTAACTGCGTAGGGTAACAAGAGTATCGGCTAAAAATATGAATGCATTTATCAACATAAATACGCCAGCAGTCTTTATCGCATTACGATCCTCTGAATGTTGAAATTCATTGGTCCAACGATCCATCACAATTATACCGGATCCGATAAACATTATGATTGCGCCGATACTGAAGAGACAGTCGATGCGCTTATCAATAACAGCGCCGAGTAGATGACCTGAACGGAGGGGAGCGAGGACCAGATGCGTGGGTTAGGCAAAATCAATGCAAATAAAGCAAAAAACGAAAGCGAGAATAATAGAGATAAAAAGGGAAGAGATAAAATAAGTAAATGTGTCATGTTTTGCTAATGTTTAATTATAACATTACTGTCTATAATGTTCATTGCAAGCAGTAAGCTGTGACTTTGCAATCAGCAAATGATAAATTAGTATTTTGTTGTAGGCATATCTAGATTTTAAGTAGTTAAATATATTAGCAGTAATTACCGAGAAGCAAAGTGCAGCAGATAATCAAATAACCCGTTAGAGTGCCACAGACCAACATCGCTTGACTCGTATACGAATGGTCGCTTATAATTTCGATCATGACAATGGCGCTCGTGATGAAAGCCTGCAACGGTGAAGGAGGGCAGCGCAAACAAACCCAATTTTAGTAAAGGTTTTTTAAAATGCACACAAGTGAACAAGACACTGAAGACATAAGGACTTTGGACGAAGCGGTTTAGAAATATAAAACAAAAGAAAAAAGCATACGAACTGGACTCGCGAGTTGAAAGAGTTAGGAAAACGATTAACTTAGAGTGACATAAAGACAATCCATTGTTTTGTGAAGGAGTGCAAATATATGTATAATATTTAAAATCTTATAAATATCCGAAATTAGCGAAAAATATCAATCTTATAAATATCGGAAACTAAACTTAGATTATCTTGAAGCCCATTAAAAGAAACCAACAGAAAACGCTCGACAGGTTCACTTTACTCAAAATTCAAAAAGAATAGTGGTCACGAAAAGAACGAACTATATCTAAAAAATATTTGATAGGTGACGCTATGGCCACGTTATTTAAATATCATATTCGAAATTCAAATCGGTCTAGCAAGAAAATGTATATTCCAAAGTTTGCTCGGTAGGTTTGAATATAGTCACTCGTTAAAAAGGGTTCCAAAGTTAATGTGCATACACTATGCCCTTCGATGCGTAATGTCAAAGTCTAGAGTGTTTTGCTATTACTGATATGTTCACCTTCTGCAAGAAGTCAACATAAAGTTATAAACCAATGTATTATCTACCCTCGAGTACTATAGAAACATTATCATAGACAATTGCAGGATTGATCACTTGTTGCAAAATGGTTTTATACGCCTTACGTCGTTAATTAGTCAATCGGTTTCTGTTACGAAAAAGTTATTTTGCTGTTCGGAGAAGAGTATATGAATTCTTAAGATAACAACACCATATTTTCAACAAAAGTTCTGCCAAAATTTATGAGAAGTTGTTTATGTAAAATATATATGACCCATAATATTATAAAACCAATGTCTTGTTATCAGGGTTGCATTAAAAAGTAATTGAATTAACATTTGAATAAACATTTTTGGATTATTTTGTAATCCCAAAAACGGATTCAATAACAAATTTAATCCCATATATCGGATTAAAAATTGATACCGGTGTAAAAAATAAAAAATAAAAATTTTAATCCCAAGCATATAAATAAAAAAAAAATATATTGCTTTAGAATTAAAAAATTTTCGCGTTTGAGTACCTTTTTCAAATTAAAAAATAAATTTTTTAGTTTTTAATCTAAAACTAAAAATTAAAAATAAAATTTTTAACCTCAATTAAAAACTTGAAATCAAATTTTTAATTCCAATAAAAAATATAAATTTAATTTTTAAACCCAAATTTTTGAATTAAAAAAATCGCTACTCTGCTCATTATAGTCACCTTATATGAACACAACCACAATACAAACCCAAACAATAATAAAACATTTGGTAAACGTGATTGGCGTTTGAAATTATAAATATTACAATAAAAATTATTGCAAACAAATAAAAACAAAAACAAATTAAAATTCTACACACATATTTTTTTTATAAGTATGAAAACAGTCTTTCGCAGACCTATAAATTAAAATATTCTTTTCTTATTACTCCGCGCCGACTTTTCAATTACACATATTTATTTTGAACTTGAAATATATTTATTATTACTGTATAAATTATTAAAATTCAAGTGCGAACATATTTATTCAAGTTCATATGCAAATATGGTACAATAATACATGTACTTATGTACAAATATGGATACACAATTTAGTGATTCATAAGAATAGAGAGAACACAATGCAAAAGGTATTAATCTCCAAAGCTATGGAATATAATACAGTAAGTAAATTTTGACGCGATTAATTTTTAAAATGCGTGTCCAGTCTCTTTTCCGAGATTAGTACAACTTTTTGTTTTGTTTACGACGGCAAAAGTTTGTCAAAAAAATTTAACAACGGTTTTGCTGCAAATTCTTTTTAATGGAATCGCGGTTACGGTTACGGAATTGTTGAAAATTTTGCAGAAATGTTTTGGCAAGTCTATTTTATCACGAACACAAAGGTAATAACGATAACATCAAAAAAGTTAAAGAAAATATGCTTGAAAATCGTCGTGATGACATTAGAGAGATAGCAGTGGATCTCAACAACTTTTATGGATCGACTCAACACATCTTGGTTAATTTTTTGGATATACAGCATGTCAATACAAGACTCGTACCAAAAGAGGTGAATCTGTTGCAAAAGCTACGCCGAATAGAGGTCTAAAAAGCATGCTTGACAAGGTAGCTGAGGATCCTGCGTTTAGCAAACGTAACATTACTGGTGACCCAGCCGATGCTCATAACAAGTGTAAGGAAAATTGGATTAAGCGTTGTCATGCTTTACTTGACGTAGGAGCCAATTTTGAACGCGATCATAAAGATTTGTATTGAATTACGTGAGAAAATATATTTTTTGTCAGTCCGATCTGGTCCCTTACGTTTAACGTTTAAACACTTCTCTTTACGTACATTATACAGAAATTAACTGTACTATATACAAGTATATTCGATTTAGATCTACGATTATCTAAAGTGCTCAAATTACATTTAATGTTATATTGTTTTTGTTGTTATCTAATTAGAGTTACAACACTTATACGATAGCATTACATCATCTGATTGCAGTCAACACTGAGTATCATGCCAGCAGATACATAAGTACATACGTAGGTTCTACGCGGCATTGCCGGCGATCAATCAAAATGCAAATTAGTGATTTATTGAAGCGTAAAATTTCAGCAATGATAACATTTCCCCTTTTTTTCATTTTATGCTTGGCTTAATGCAATTTGAACCAATTTTCGCAATATAAATTATTTTCTGCTTACAATAAAATAAAAAAATGCTTTAATAAAAACATCAATAATTTACAAAAAAAAAATAACACAACTCAATAATCAAAAATTTCAACCGAGTATACTGAGTTTATGCCATTTTAATGTTTTACCCCATATTTAATAACAAAATAATATTTTTTTTACTTTGGTTGTTGGACGAATATATTTATTTTGCATTCGAAGAGAGTGTAACTAAATAGAGATTTTCACGCATGTTTATACAATTTTTCTAATTATTGAGCTATGTCACTTTTCTAGTAACTGATTATTTCGTAAATATAGAAAGCATGTAAATATTCGGCTGACGACAATTTTATTTAGCTTCCTTTTCGTCAAGGACAAAGTTGTTTTCATCATACAATTTTGTAGAGTCAGTGAGGAAATTTATGAATATTTATTATTTGAAATTTAGGCAGAATAACTGCAACATTTGCATAATAAAATTGAGTCATTAAAACTCGAATCAAAATCTGTCACAATGGTTAATGCTGCAGTGAAAGATAATGACACAAAAAAATGATGAAATAAGACGGAAATTAGTCACAGTTAAAAATGTCAAAAAGAGATCTTTAATATAAAAATAGCTTACATAAACGATGACACTTTATTCCAAAGATTCGTTTTAGCAAATAGAAAATTGAAATTAAGCCTAAGTCCACACTAAAATTTTTGAAGAAAGTGCCACCAGCTTTTACCCAACACGTTCTTTCTGTCTCATTTAAACAAAGAACTTACTAAAGCAATATTTTTTAAACCCAAAAGTTCTATTTAATATACCCAAAGCTCCACAGCTCTATTTAATCTGCGATTATTAAGCCGATTTAAATCATATGGAGGCTGATGTAATTTGGAGCACATTACTCTTATGAGCCTACAGTGATTAATGTAGGCGGCTTAAGAAATTCTCAGAACATAAAAAAAAATTATGTTGGAAAATAATGTCGACCAATGTCAAGTCTCCGAGAAATTCTTAAATATTCCTATATTTTTCCCATAATACTAATCAAATTTTCGGAGGCGGCTATCACTTATACTTTCAAAGAAACTAAAATTCAGAATTATTGTTCCTTACTTTCTGCCTTATTACCTCTGAATGCTGCTGATTTCAAGAGCTATATTCAATACCAGGACCCGACCAGTATTTTCTGAAATTTTTTATCCCTCGGTAAATAAAGTCAAACCTCTCATTGTATTTGTACTATAAAAATAAATTCCTAAAAAATATATAAACATTTCGGAGACAACAGGTAGCACCCTTGTGCCCTAAAATAATATAGAAATCATAATTATTACTCGCTGCTTCAATACCTCTGATATTTGCTTATTTCACTCTTTTGCGATTGTTTATACTTGTAGTACTCGATACGCCATTTCCCCTTTGCAAGTGGTGGGTCAACACCCTTCTGCAATTTTTTTTGCATTTCCTGCAGATTACTTTAGGTACGCAATCAGTCTATACTACGTATATAATATATATTATAATGACGTGCGCCAACACTAATGAATAAAGTTAATTTCGCTGTAATTTCCAGCAACTGTTGAACACAAATTCAATAATTCTTGAAGTGCTACCACAATTTATCTGGTGCTCAGCAAATATTTACGGATAAGTATATAAACCTATAACATTTACATAGCAATTCATGATGAAAATGGGGCAAAAATAGATAATAAAGGATGTTGCAAATATTATCGACACACAAATATTAATAAAAGTATGGTTTTATTTGATCACTTTTTTATTTTCCATCAATATTGGTATAAGCTGTCTTAATATGTGGCGTCTTAACTTAGCAAACACTGTCGTTTGAGCGTCACATTCCCTTGAAATGGGTGCGTAATTGTCAACTTGCTGTCATTTTTATTTGCTGTCAGTTGCTGTCATAAATCAATTAATTTAAGTAGCTTTTAAATGGACACTAATGGGTTATTAGTGGTAATTTAGGAATTTTGCCGCAGCTAATGTTTTTTGTTTACCCCTGTTATTTTAAATTCATGTTTGAATAGTTGAAAATATTGGAAGCGCTTTTCAAAATAACATAATATTTAGTTATGTAGTTTAGTATGAAATTATTTATGAGAGATTGCTAAAATAATACCATCTGATGATTAAAATACGTGAAAAGGTTGGTTTGTTCGTGAGTGTAGGTCAAATTTAATCAGATTGTATATTTT